CTCCAGCCCTGAGATGGCCCACCAGCACTGTCACTGGAGCTGGGAAGAATCTTGCTGACTGATGACAGCTAAGGCTTCCCCTCTCCCTCCTCCGGGGCAGCCCACCCTTCTCTCTCTGCTCTGTCGTCAGGTGTGCTTAGGCAAGCTGGGGCAAAGGAGAAAGGTGCATGCCACATTCTTCTCTTTCCCCAAGGGAGGCTCAGTTTGGAGACCTCTGAAGAGAGAATTAAAAGAGTAATTTATAACCTTAGGAGAACCCTTCCCTTTAGTAATTCTCCATGACAAATCAATTTTGATTGCAAGCCAAATAAAGAATTTGCAACAAATGCCTTGTCTTGATGCTCAGGAGAACCAGGTGTCCCAGCCTCCTCACAGCACATGTCACACTTCCTGAAAAGTTTATTCTGTCCACATCAGCACGCAGTTCCTCAACAAAAATAAAGCTGGGGAACCAAAAGAAAGTTTTCACTTCATCTGATATAAACGCCTCTTGGATCCCCTCCCTGTCTGCAACTGTAAGAGGAAAATCACATGCTTCACCATGGACCCCAGAAATAAGGGGACATTGGATTGGGATAAAAAGGACCTAAGTATGACATGGGGTCCTCTGGGTGGTCATTCATTTAGGAAGAAAGCTTTCATAACTAACATGGCACTTCTCTGGGACAGGCCAGGGACAGATCTGCATATGAGCTCAGCTAGTCTGCAGAACCCAGGAAAGGAATATTCTATCTTTTCCTACCAATAGGCTGTTGTACTCTAACTCATCCTCTAACTTGCGAAGAGGGACAGTTGGATTCATACGTTGGGCATTCTGGAGAATGTGCTTTCAAACCGGTCTCTTCTTCCTTGCTGGGACATTCTGAGAAAGTTGCTTTCAGCATCCTTTTCTGCCTCACAGTTTGAAACTCACCTGGAATTTGGGGTGTCCTTAAAGGACCGGAGGTTGTGTTTGCCCCACCTTCTTGACTCCCATGTGAATGTCCTAAGGGGGGGGGGGGAAAAAAGACATCTCTCAACAAAGTTTGAAATGCATAACCCGAGTTCCTTGTGGAGCCATGTAAGGGCTGCTCTCCGCTTTCTGAATCACTGAGAAGCCATTTATGGATTCAAGCTGCAGACGTTTATAAAGCATTACACCAAAGATATCCCCCGCTCAGTCTGATTAAGGCTAAGGCTTGGTAATGTTATCCTGTATCAAGGAACCTGAGAATTCTTAGCAGCACTGTTGACAGTGCTCAGGACTTTGGGGTCTAGAGCTGGACAACCCTGGATTTGAGTCTCCTTGCTGTCCCTTGCTAACTAGCCATGTGAGTGAGCTGGGTCAATTTACCTTCTCCAAGTCTTCATTTTCACACTCGTAAGATGGGGATAATAGAATCCCGTTCATCATAATTTTACAGAGGTTTAAGGAAGTACACAGTATTGGTAGTTGTGTGTGGTTGTTATTTTCTATTTTTAATTTAGGACCTTGCTCCTCAAAGCGTGGCCCCTGGACCATCAGCACAGGCATATCTGGAGAGATTGCTAGAAATGCAGAATCTTCCACCTCACCCCAAAGCTACCAGATCAGAATCTTCATTTTAACAAGACCCCCAGGGGATTCACATGCTCCAGAAAGCCCAAAGGGAACCTGAAAATCCCATCCAATAGCATCATAGGAGCCAACATAAACACTAAAAAATAAAGAGTTTGCGGGCAGTGGCCCTTTCTGCCTATGAAAAATCACCCTATTAGAGTCCCTGCTAATATATTACTGAAACGCACCTTGTTAGAAGAATCAACACTTTCTACTGCTAGAAAGCGAAATGAGGAAATGAACAAAATGCCTCAAACTGGGAGGAAGCATCACAAGACAGACAATCCTCAAGTCAGAACTGGAGGTCAATCCAAATGAGTGAGACACAATGCTTCTAAAAGAAATTTATGAGAGGCTGGGCACAGAGGCTCACGCCTATAATCCCAGCTCTTTGGGAGGCTGAAACAGGAGGATCTCTTGAGCCCAGGAGTTTGAAACCAGCCTAGGCAACACAGGGAGATCCTGTCCCTACTAAAAATAAGAATAAATAAGTAAGTACACAAATTTTTTTAAAAAAGAAACTTCTAAGACATCTTGTGGAAAGACTCATCAAAATTAAAGCTTCATGGATTTTAAAACATTCTTCCTCCATTGCTTCAAAACAAAATTCCAAAGTGTCACCAAAAGGAACTTTTTTTCCCCTACCAAATGGAAGCCCACTCTAGAATCCTGAAGGTGATCAATGGATGAAGATAGTGGGGCCTTTAAATGACAGCTTTCCTCAGAGAGTCCAACTTTAGACTGTGCACACGGAAATCTTGATCACAATGGTTATTTGGGGACAGGATGGCTCTTGTTTATGCAATTTAATGCTTTTGTTAAAACTTAAAAGGGAGCAAAACAAGTTCCTACCAGACATCTGGCTGTTTCGACACCCCCCATCCTATGTTGACAATGGCCTTTTACTTTACAAACCTCCAAAACAGTCCAAGGTCCTTTCCCGACATGCCTTACAGTGTCCTTGGTGGCTGGCAGGTTTTCACCTGCCCAAGTCATGGGACATTGGCCACCTAAACTGAAGGTCTTCGGCCTTGAAAACTCCCCAGGAGGTACAGTCACTCTCACTGGTTTTCTTCTGACTCACAGAAGCCTTTGATATTTAAAAGTGAGGCCATTAATGGATCCTAATCTCTTTATTTTGATTTTCAAAAAAAAAAGTGCTCCCAGCAAGACAAGATCTGGGTGTATGTGCAACAAGACGGAACCTCCTCTTCGAACAGTGGACACTGGCTCAAAGCCAACAAAAGAGACTGTCTCCCGTCTCTTTTCCACCTGATTCTCACTTCAAGCAAAAGCCACAGAGGACGGACGTGAGACAGCAGGCCTTGCCTTGTGCTCTAGATGTCTACAAATCCAGTCAGGATAGGACTGGCCACAATAGCAAGTTCCACAACAAGGAGCACTTGATATTCCCGTTGGGAGATGAGATGTAATCCGAGACATGTGCATAGAGATCCGTTCCATTGTCTTCAATGGTGAGAAACGCAGTCTAGCATAGTCTAAGCTTCCAAACTTTCGTGTGCATATAAACCACCTGGGTGGGAGGCTATAGTTAAAATGCAGATCCTGATTCAGTAGGTCTGGGTTGGCCAGGGCTTCTGCATTTCCAACAAGTTCCTAGGTGAGTCCGTGCTAATGGTTAAAGAACCACACTCAGAGAGTGGCTGAGGTCTCTTGGTTTAGAAAGCATGCCCTTTAATAATAACTCCCTACGGTTGCAGAGTGCTTTCACAATTCTGGTCTTCCTCACAAGAACTCTAGGAAGCAACTGAAATAGGCGATTTGATCTCCTTTTTACTAACAAGGAAACTGAGTCTGGGAAAGGTTAAGTGTCCTGCCTAAGGTCCCCAGTGAACCTGTGACTTTTGTCTCTATTTCAGAGGCATTTCTAATGAACCTACCTCCTAGTGCTCCTCCATAGAGGGTTATTATGGAAGCCACTATGTAACTATCCATCTTCCTATTTGTTTTCAATGTGTAAACATTTAAACCTGATTATGAGCCTCACTCAAACTTGGGTATAAAAAGGGAGTACAATAATTGATATAGCTTAAATCATTTACATGGGGGTCACCTGGATTTGTGATGCTCAAGGGGACCATAGTAAGGCAGCATTGGCAGCACCTCGCAGTAGCCCAGTAGTAGAAGTCATTAGTAAATCTACCTCGCATCAGACTTTTGCAGTCTGGGGTAAGGTTTTCAGGGTGTGATCGGAATCACAGCAAACAGGAGTCTATTTAAGAATGCATGCCTCGGCCGGTGTTGTAGCTCATGCCTATAATCCCAGCACTTTGGGGGGCTAAGGTGGGTGGATCATTTAGGGTCAGGAGTTCAAAACCAGCCTGGCCACCATGATGAAACCCCATCTCTACTAAAAATAAAAAAATTAGTCCAGCATGGTGGTGAACACCTGTAATCCCAGCTATTTGGGAGGCTGAGGCAGGAGAATTGCTTGAACCTGGGAGGCAGAGGTTGCAGTGAGCCAAGATCACGCCACTGCATTCCATCCAGCCTGGGAGACAGAGCAAGATTCCATCTCAAACAAAAACAAAACGAAACAAAAAAACAAATGCATGCCTGGCAGTAATTATGGTCATTATAGAATGCCTTCTCCAGACGGCTATGAGAAGTAACATGAGACACGCAGGCTTGAAATGTGGCTCCATCACTCCCTGGTCCTGTCAACTCTGCCAAGTTATTTACCCTCTCTGAGCCTTAGTTTCCTCATCTGTAACATGGGAATAATAATAGTACTCACCGATGTCATCACAGAGTTTGTAGGATGACTGAATGAGTTAATACTAGATACACTCTATGAATGTGCTGATATTGACCTGTTCCTGACCCATAGTAATGGCAGTTCCATTTGGCCTAACCTAATACAGGTAAAGTGTTGAGAAAGATGCTGTTGGCACACAGTAAATTACCAACAAATACCAGCTATGATATCATGTGCCAGGATTATGCTAAATGCTTTATATTTATTCTATCATTTAGCCTTTGAAACAGTGTCCTGTGACAATTCTTATTATTCCAAGTTTATTAGTTGAGAAATTTTGTCTCAAAACCTTTAAGCATCTTGCTCAGTTAATAATGCAGAGGGATGGAATTGAACAGGGGCCATTTTTGCTACAAAACTCAGGCTCTTAAATGACTATGGTGTAGCGCAATGTTAAATTGGGACACTGCCTGAATTCCTTCTGAGGCTTTCGGATGCAAGGCTTTTCTCCAGAGCAGTAGTTCTCAAAGTGCAATCCCTGTCCCAGCAGTGTCAGCATTACCAGAGAACTGATGAGAAATGCAAATGCTTGGGCTCCACCCCAGACCTACTGAATCAGGAACTTTAAGGGTGGGGTCCAACATTGTGATTGAACAAGCCCTCCCTGTAATTGTGATGTATGGTAAGAAGGTTTGAGAACTACTTCTCTGGAGACACTGACTCATACTTCATTAGTAGTCATCATCAGGCTCAAGGATTGGAACAGTAAATGACTGAAGCCGTTTTGAACTCACCAGCTGATTCAGATCCATGAGTGGTATGGGAGCCCCCCCTGGGGTCGAATGCACCTTGGTCTCCTGTAACGAGCAATCAGGAAGGTCAGTACTGCAGGTTTCCACTTAAACTCCCGTCTGCATTTCCTTACATTTGCGTTCTTATGCAGCCTATCACAAAGTCTAGTCTTTTTAAGGTATTCCAAAAAATGATGGCAAAACGTCCTTGAATGGGTCCACAATATTAATTACTGTTCATTGCTTAATCCACTGATAAATGACCTAGAGCTTTAATCAGAATTAAGGAAACTAGGGCAGCAGAGGCTAGGAAGGATGACCACAGGAAGTTCTGTAGAAACTTGGTTTTGGTAGAAATCCAAGAACTGAGATAAGGAACACGCTAACAAAAATACTGTAATATCTTTGCAGGTCGGAAGTTGAGACTAGACATTGTGTATTCTAAATAAGGATAATATGAATTTGATTATGAGACGTGTAATCACTGGAAATGGGCGTACTCTGGTTTAGGGCATGAAACAAAGAGCATCCTTGGCGGCAGGAAATTAGTATGCAATAAGAAATCTTGGAATTGAATGATGCAAAGATTCAAAGAGAAAGGTCAGCTACTTATTTTCAGAAAAAAAGTTGAAAATAAGTAAAAAAGAAAATGGTGAGATGGTAGCTAACATGAGTAATGCGTATTGAAATATGGATATTATGGTAAGTTTAAAACAGTATTTTTAAAAAGTTGAATCTGTATTTTCAACATGACTAATTAATATAATCCTAACTTCTCAAGGAAGGATTATCACCAGAAAGCTTTAGATTAAGACAAGGTCATGGATTGCTAAAATCTAAATCCATAAAACTCCTTCCCCACCCCCATTTTTCAAAAGTATACTGGAATCTTTTTTTTTAATCACAGGATAATGCTTACATACATAACATGGCTGCAGTTATGCATTATGAAGGCACCTTATAAGGAATCTATAGTAACTTAATCATCACCATTTCCTTGATTAGAGAAAGTGGAGGCGGGTGACACATAGTCACTTGTGTAATTATATTGAAGAGACAGATTGCTTTGTTCCTTGGCTGATGGCTAAAATAAATGAAAATAACATTTGCTAAAATGCCACACCAATACTCCCACTACCAAAATCACCATCACCATCGCAATCCCATTACCATCATTATCACCAGCACCATCAGCACCACCACCACCACCACCACCACCACCACCATTGCTACCACAATTCCAAATGCTTTAGTTCTTTTTTTTTCTTTTTGAGACAGAGTCTTGCTCTGTTTCCCAGGCTGGAGTGCAGTGGCTCCATCTCGACTCACTGCAACCTCCAACTCCAGGGTTCGAGCGATTCTCATGCCTTAGTCTCCCGAGTAGCTAAGACTACAGGCACCTGCCACCATGTCCAACTAATTTTTTGTATTTTTAGTAGAGATAGGGTTTCACCATGTTGGCCAGGCTGGTCTCAAACTCCTGACCCCAAGTGATCCGCCCACTTCAACAAATGCTTTAGTTCTTAACATTAAGCATAAAGACTGAGAAAAATGTATAGGTATAAATAAGATTTACGTGAGTGTTTTTGAAGCAAACCCAAATATGAGAATTGAGTCACTTCATTGTCTAATCCATGGAGAACTGTGGAAAATCTGTCTGTACCACTGTGAAAAGCAGAAGGAATCAGTGTCTGTGAATAACTGAATATAAGTTTTGTAGAAAGCATTTGATTCACTAACATTACACTATAAGCCTTCTAGGGTACTGTTACTATTAAAATTGTCATTTAAAATTTAAATTCATGGCCGGGTGTGCTGGCTCATGCCTGTAATCCCAGCACTTTTGGAGGCTGAGGCAGGTGGATCTCTTTAGGTCAGGAGTTCCAGACCAGCCTGGCTAACATGGTGAAACCCTTGTTCTACTAAAAAAACAAAAATTAGCTGGGCATGGTGGCACACATCTGTAATCCAGCTACTCAGGAGGCTGGGGCAAGAGAATCACTTGAATCCGGGAGGCAGAGATTGCAGTAAGCCCAGATTTGCCACTGCACTGCAGCCTGGGCGGCAGGGCGGCAAGACTCTGTCTCAAAAAAAAAAAAAAAAAAAAAAATGAAATTCATTAGGTTGCACAACAGGCTTTCTTTTGCCAAGGGAAATTAGGCAGTACTGTAAGATTTACTGAAGAATATTCACAATGGTACTTGGAATTCTTACTAAGTGAGAGCAGAACAATGCTGAATAAAGAACTAAGGAGTGTAAGGGGCTTTGTCTTGCCAATATTGCTGACGTTGGTATTTTCTTAGCTTTTCTTGAAGCTCTGGGTAGGCCACCCAGAGAAATGAGGCCACACATGTGGCATTCTGAATTTTCTGTCCCTGGATCACAACTGTCATCTGTTTTACTTATTGGGTTCTCAGAAGGTATCTATGCTTCTTTTTCTTTTTTCGGGAGTGGGGAGAGAAGATCTCTGCTCCAAAAGTATATATCTAAAATCTCTAATCTTGAATATGCCTTAGTGATTGTGTTAAAAAAGCAATTGAAAAACTAGTACTAGGAAGACAGAATCTGTTTTTAATTTCTTCACTACAGTGGGCGTTTGCAAGTTCTCCTTTCTTCAGTGTTAATTTCTTAATACAAATGGAGAAGCAAAGAAAAGCAGAAGCAGCGATGACTGCTTATTTGAGAGAAAAAAAAGACTTATTCTAGGTCCATGTCAAACTTAATTGAATAAATTATCTTCAGTCCTCTCTTCACTGTAACAATAGAAGAAATGGTCCCTATTCATTAATACTAGATTAAGTCATGAAGATTTTAAGTATGCTTCAGAGCTAGAAGAGGTTTATCCATCACCAAAAGTAAAACTGATCAATCTATCACAAAAACAAGATAATAATTTCAGAGCAAAGATACTAGTATATAGAAAGTATTCACCTGTAGGATAAAACCTTACTAAATAAGTAGCATATATTAGTCAAAGTAAGTGGAAATGCTAATATTCGACTATTTTGACCTGCAAAAATATCAGTTTCATGTGGTTCAACTTGATATATCACAAGATAAGACAAAGAAAGCAATTCCATCATAACAGCCAAGTTGTACACATAATACACACACACACACACACGGAAAAAACACTGGCAAAAGGTATTCTTTTATCTAACATAAATCCAAATTTATTTGCACTAGAATTGATAACCAATGATGAAAGACATTTCCATATCACAAGCTATTCCAATCCCAGACTACACAGAAAATGTCCTCTGTAATATGAAAGTATGTATTGTTTCTCTACACAGAGAAAGCTAACTAGATAATGAATGGCCAAATTACCTGATAAGGAGTGATTGACATTAGAGTTGGAATCTCCAACAGTAACATCAGTAACTCCAAAGGACCCAGTCTCATCTGGGGTCCCTGGGATGAAGGTCCTGCTTTCCTTTGAGTCTGGGTAAGGAGAAGTATAACCTTCCAGTAAAGTAGTTGAAGGTTCAAAATGACTTGGGCCTCTTCTTCCACCTCTGACATCATTTCTATCTGTGTGAAAGTGAAATCAATGATGAACTCACATTGTAATATCACCAGCCACCATGTGCTTGACTCCAGAACACACAAGTGCTGCAAAAGCTTTCCACTTGTTACCCATAAACAGGGAGGAATAGAGTGAAGTTCACCATAGTATTGAACAGAATAAATATTTTTCAACAGACACCACCACCACCTGGACATCACTCAACAGAAGAGATTTTGGTTATCTTAATACCCAGAATTGGCATTTGTTGCAACATCTGCTTGGGTTATTAGGTAAGGCTTATGTCACTACAACTGTGACCTTGACATCAGCCGAAGTACTAGATAATCTTGAGTTCTTTCTCAATTGGATTCAGTTTTGATGAAATGGAGGAAACATACCATTGGATTGAAAGATAAAATTTTGCTGCCTGCAATTAGAATAGCAAAGGCAAGGTTTCAAAGGCCTGAGGCTACTAATTTAATTATTCTTTTACTTTCCAGAAGGGATTCCTTTCAGTCATCAGCACCATGGAGGTCCAGAGAACAAATGGCAAAATAATATTAATGTGAAGAATATAAAGTGATATAATCCAACATTTACACCAATTATAAATCATAATGCAAAAAGACTGAAATCGTAACAAACAGTCTCTTGAACCACAGCATATTCAAATTTGAAATCAAGACTAAGAAACTCACTCAAAACCATACAATTACATGGAAATTGAATAACCTGCTCCTGAATGACTCTTGGGGAAATAATGAAATTAATGCAAAAATCAAAAAGTTCTTTAAAACTAATAAGAAGAAAGATACAAGGTACCAGAATCTCTCGGACATAGCTAACGCAGTAGTAAGAGGGAAATTTATAGCACTAAATTTAAATGCCCACATCAAAAAGTTAGAACGATCTGAAGTTAACAAAAATAAATAAATAAATAAAATCATATATAAGCAATTCATTATTGTCAAAACAAATTACTAACCCTGGAGTGAAAGAAACCCAACCTTTAAAATTAAGAAATGTAGTTTTCACTTAATGTACAAAGAGGTATATGAAACAGAAAAATCAGAGAACCGCCACCAGACGCACCTTTTGATTAAAAGTAACAGCATAACAGCAGCCAATGGATGCACCTCCACCAAAGACACGGCAAAAGCACCCATAATTTATTGATTCTTATCAATTGCTGAAGCCAACTAGGTTTTATAATCATTCCTTACTACTTGATGTCAGAGTAGAAGTTGTTGGATGGTCTTTATCTTCTTCCAAGCCTTCATGTGATGTAGAGAAGCTCTGAGAGTTACTCTGCTCTGTTTCAATGAGGGATGAATCCAGTGTTAATTTGAAGTTATGACACAAATCCCGTTATCTGCTAGCAGATAAGATGTAGCTATCACAGAGTCAAATGGGTAGGTACATAGGTTTGTGTGCATTATTCTCCTCTGATAGATGGAAATATACAGAAGAATTCTATTTTCCCCCTAGTTGGTTCCAAAGACTCTTTATTTCTCAGTAGAGTCAACAAAGGTAAAGTGGCAAGGTGAAGACTGAGCCAAAACTTTGCCTACCCTGG